TGGAAGCACGGGCGTGGTTACCCTCGCAGGAAGATCGTAGTCAACATCATCGACGGCGACATGGGTGTCGACGACGTTGGTGCCGGCGTCAGGGAAGAGGATATAGAGGGAAATGGCAGACCACATGTCTGATTGTCACAGCTTTAATTACTGTTTCCCCTGTTCTGTCTAAAAAAATTTTGGTAAGTAGTTTAAGAGAAATAACTAATAACGGCTATGGATTCACTGCATGTTAGGTGTCAAAAACGTGGCTTAGCTACCATCTGCCATTTCACCTAATCCACAGACTCTGAAAGATATGATTTTTAAGGTCGATCCTTCTTGACAAAGAGAGGGAGAGATTAAGGAGGATGGCAAAGGGCATAGCTGAAGTGGGTATTGAAGAAATAGCCAAAGCTGGTGGTTTGACCAGGGAGGAAGCTAAGGAAATCCATGGTGTTATCAGAGAAGCGATTGCAGTAGCAGAAGCAAAAGGGTCTGACCCAAGCGAGGTGTGGCGGGAGGTGGTGGCCAGGAGGGTGCTGAAGCCAAGGCACCCACATCCTCTGCATCAACTGGTGTACTACTCTGTCTATGCTCATTGGGATTCCTCCATCAATGGCCCCCCTCTTTACTGGTTCCCTTCCCTGTAATGTTTCCTTTCGCCCTGTTATCTGCATTTGGTTGTTTTTCTCTTTGCTGCTTAAAATCCCATTTTTCCCAAATATTGGTTTTGACGTGAGAATATGAAAGGGGCTATGAAATCTGTGCTGCTTAGCCTCATAAATTGGTATTTTGGTATTATCACTCTAGTAGTCAATTTTCTTGTTTCTTCTCCTAATTGATTAAAATGTGCTCTGTTTACAGATATCAATCTAAACTTACCAACCTTGGACGTATAATGGAAACTCATGGTCCAAAGCTTTTAGGGACTTCATACAAGGACCCTATCACGAGTTTTAACCTCTTTAGAAAATTCTTTGTTCAGCATCCCGAGGTAAGTGTTAATTTCTACTCCTAGACATGTCAATGCTACGCTTAATTCGGGAATACAACATTACATGGATTTAGATCTAAGCATTAAATTAATTTTTCAGGCTTATTGGTCAATTATTCTGAAAGAGCTTTCGATTGTGTTTCGGGAAGCTCCAAAATGCATTCTAGATATTTCTGATAAGTCAAAACCTGGAGGAACATGGCTCCCAGGTGCAGTTTTAAACATTGCTGAATGCTGTTTATTACCCTCAAAACATCCAAGAAAAGAGGATGATAGTTGTGCTGTTGTATGGAGAGATGAAGGGTGTGATGATTCTGAAGTGAACCATATGACATTAAAAGAACTTCGAGAACAAGTAATGTATGGTCTGTTGTATTTAATATCGTTTCTTCCATTATTCCTGTTCTATAATTTTCTTTATGTTATGTTCTATTGTAATTCTGTTTTCTTTGTTTGATCTTTTATTGATCTGCGTAAAACATGATCTACAGGTTGGTGGCAAATGCACTAGATGCAACTTTTTCGAGGGGTGATGCAATTGCAATTGACATGCCAATGACAGTCAATGCGGTTATCATATACTTGGCTATTGTATTATCTGGACTTGTAGTAGTTTCAATAGCTGATAGTTTTGCAGCGAAGGAAATTGCAACACGTCTACGAGTCTCCAACGCAAAGGCTATCTTCACTCAGGTGCTCTCCCACTTCTAGAGGTTATCTTTCATGAAAAATATGGACTGTGAGACTGTAAGCGAAATGAAGCAAATTTCAAAACTTTCAGTTGATGGAAAATTCACCTGATACAACGTCTAACTGTTGTAAGGCTTATTATGTTCTTATCTGAAGTTTGATGTACTTTTGTGTGTGTGTGTGTGTGTGTGTGTTAAGACCATCTCAGACTCCAAATCCCCCATACTCCACCTGTGTTTCTAGTTTTTCCTAGTTTTTCCCAGTCTTTTACATGAGTTGATTCCTCAATTGTTCCTTGTTGTCATTCCTTAGTGGTTATGGCTAAATATTTGCTATTGTTATTAACAACAGACACCATGAAGGAGAGTTCTGTACAAGCATTCTAGTACCATCAACTATAGTCTGTTGCGAGAAAGTGGTTATTGTTTAATTTGTTCTATTTTTCATTTCTCCATATTAAAATTGTAAAATATTGCTCTATTACACATTTTGTATGATAAGTAAAACCGTGCAGATGTTATGATATCCTTATAATGAGGGAAAAATTTTCAAGTTCAATTATAGTTTCCTAGCTGCTCTTTTTTTTCTTTTTTTCTTTTTGGAAATTACTAACTGATTTAAAATTGTACCCAGGATTTTATACAGAGAGGAGGTCGGAAGGTTCCTTTATACAGGTAATATTTATGTTTCACACACATAGCAGATGCAAAATTTTCCCCTTTTGAAATCTATTGGGTTGTTACATGTGTTCTTTATCTTTCTAAATGAATTAAAAAAGATCCTTGGCATTTGAAAGGCTTTCATCTTCTTGTATGACAAATTTTCTGATTCTCTGCCAAAATGGATACATGGAGAATTCCTCTAACTCCCAATCTACGTGAGTGGTTCGAGTTAGGTTAGAGGATCTCTTAAGTCACATTTGTTTTGTCTTCTAAAAAGCTTTGGTTTTCATTTCTTCAAATCAAAACTCTCTCAACAATCCTGCACCTTCTCTCCATGTGCATTTGCAAGCCCTTATTAGCGTGGTTTTCCATGCTTTGTTTAACTAGGAAAGAATCCAGAAGCCATACCTAACTGTTAATTAGTTCCTTGTCACTCTTAAAATATTAAAATACTGGCATTATGATGGATAATTATCTCTTTTTTTATGCAGCCGAGTTGTAGAAGCTGCACCATATAAAGCTATTGTGCTCCCTGTAAGTGGGAGTGATGTAGGCATCAAATTAAGAGAACAGGATATATCATGGAGGGACTTCCTTTCCATTGTCAACCAACATCCAAGGTAATTAGTTTGGTAGCCATTCACCAAAACAGAAGTTAGTGCAATGGAAGTCACTTTATGTCATCTTCATCACCCAATGAACTCAATTTTTTTTTATTTTTTTGGAAAAGGGCAAGTTTTTCCATTGAACATTAAACTCAAATTAATGTCAAATTAATTGTTTTGGTAAAAGGTATTGAGTATCTCCATATAGGTTTCTAATGGGCATTTTTGTTGCAGACCAACTTATTACCCTCCAGTTTATCAACCAATAGGCGCCACAATTAATATACTCTTTTCATCTGGAACCACAGGTATTGAGGATTTTTTTACTGACAGACATACTTTTAGCTGATCTTAAAGTTAATTTTACTGGATAATTCTTGTTTTCCTATTGGCTTCACCAGGAGATCCAAAAGCTATTCCATGGACACAACGTTCCCCAATTAGCTGCTCTTCTGATCAGTGGGCTCATGCCAATGTTGGAGTTGGAGATGTTTTCTGCTGGCCCACAAATCTAGGATGGGTGATGGGACCTGTTCTAATGTTCTCATGCTTTTTGACTGGTGCAACTCTTGCTCTCTATAACGGTTCTCCTCTGGACCGTGGTTTTGGAAAATTTATTCAGGTGTCAACCCATGCCAATTCTTCTCATTTTTCAGCAATTAATGCTTGTTCAATTGATAGAAAAACCAATGTGCAGCAACCAAGCCTAACCTTTTTCTTCTTCCATTGTATCTTCTTAGGATGCTGGAGTGACTATTTTGGGTACAGTTCCAAGCTTAGTGAAAACTTGGAAGAGTACACACTGTATGGAAGGCTTGGACTGGTCAAAGATAAAGTAACATTCTTTTGAACTTCAAGTATAGAAGAATGCCTTCTGTCTTTAGAACAAGGACTTATTAACATATATCTGCAGATCCTTTCCCAGCACTGGAGAAGTTTCCAATATTGATGATGACCTCTGGCTTTCTTCAAAGTCTTACTACAGCCCCATTATTGAATGTTGTGGAGGCACAGAACTTGCATCAGCATATATCCATGGGAGTCAACTGCAGCCACAAGCTTTTGGAGCATTCAGTAGTCCAGCAATGACAGTTGGATTGGTCATTCTTGATGAACACGGAGTTCCTTATGTAAGAACTTTTTTTGGTAGATTTGGATTCCAGTTAATTTTGTTCAGTACTGTTTTCCAAATAATTTGTCTCTAGGTGGTGGGTAGCTGGTAGAAATTTGTATAAATTCTCATGATAATTGTATTGAACTTATGGGGCCAGTGAAAGGAATAGATATTTCTGTTTCATTTTTAGCATATACTTGTATACTTAACTAGTCTGGTCTTTCTGAGCTTTGTGACAGCCAGATGATGAAGCTTGTGTTGGTGAAGTGGGCTTATTCCCGCTGTTCCTGGGAGCAACTGAAAGATTGCTTAATGCTGATCATGAGAAAGTTTACTACAAGGGAATGCCAATGTATAAGGGAATGGTATGGTCATGCCCTGTTTAGAATAGTTGGAAAGAGGCATCTTTGCTTACTCAGTTTTAGATTGTAATGCTGTGTGCATTGCATGCAACTTCAGATACTTGATATCAATTGCATAAAAGTAGGTTGCTAACCTTTAAAAATCAGCATGTTTTTTAAAAGTCTTAGAACCCCTGGATTCAGTAACTAAATAACAGCCGTGGGGGAAAGTATCAAATAACAATAACCATTTAATTTTGGTGAAGATAAGATCAGACATTCAAATGTATTGTTCTGGATACTTTCTTATAACTTGAAATCTGCATTCACAGCGCCTCAGGAGACATGGTGATGTCCTTAAGAGAACTGTTGGAGGCTATCTTATAGTCGAGGGCAGGGCTGATGATACTATGAATCTTGGAGGCATTAAGGTATGATATTAAAAAATATTCCATTACCATCTTCTAATATGGTGAGTTTGTAATTGTTTTAATAGCTTAAAATTCAAAATGTTTCCCCATACGCAGACAAGTTCTATTGAGATTGAACGCATATGTGACCGAGCTGATGAAGGCATCATGGAGACTGCTGCCATCAGTGTAACACCACCAGATGGTGGCCCTGAACTACTGGCAATATTTGCAGTTCTAAAGCAAGGATTTGATCACCAGCCAGATAAGTTGAAGACAATATTCTCAAAAGCCATTCAAAGGAACCTCAACCCTTTGTTCAAGGTTTGGCTCTGGAATTCTTTTTGTCGTTAGTTCGACTAAGGTGCAGTTGATTATGTCTAAAAGGATTACCGTTTCCTACTTCTTGGTGGTTAATTAACAGGTGAGCTTTGTTAAGATAGTCCCGGAGTTCCCCCGAACTGCTTCAAACAAATTATTGAGAAGAGTTTTGAGGGATCAGGTGAAAGAAGAAATCTCAGTTCGAAGTCGAATTTAATGCAACATCAGCAGTTCCTTAATTAAAGCTGTATCTCTGTCTGTAATCGAATTTGATGCAAAACGAAAATGATGGTTTTCGCTTGAATAGTCTTGTCATGGTATAACACGTTCCGTATGTTTCTTCTTGTTCATAAATAATACGCATGCATTTATGTTAAGAATTTGTATGTCCGAAGTAACACACTGCAATCTAGAATAGGTTTGCCATGGCTTAATGCATAAAATGATTCAGTTTCATCTTTCAAATCCTATTAAAAGAAAATAAAATTTAATATGAATATCATTATAATTGATTAAGAGTATTCATAATCAAGATTTAAAACTTTTTAACCTTAATCAAATATCTAAAAATAGTAGAATATTTCAAAACTTTTAAAATGATACTTCTTTAAAACTTAGTTAGAAGAATCAAAATATCATTTTAAGAATAAAATAGAAATTTAATGTTTTAAAAATAGAGCTGTAGTCCAATTTTAAGGGGTAGAGTTTTAGGTGAATTAGAAATTTAGAATTAGGATTGGAGTAAAAATTAAGATTGAAAAATAAATTACAGAATATAAGAATGTTTTATTTTTATTTTTTAATTAAGTTAATAGAATTATTATTTTATAAAATATGAAAAAGAAAATTTTAAATACTATAAAAATATATTATATTATTTAATTAAATTACTTTATAATCAGATTTTATTTTATAATAAGGTAATTTAGGTGGTTTGACAATAAAATCACAAATCAAATCAATTATATCGATTTTAAAATTTTATAATTCAAATCAACTCAATTTTATATCAAGCTAATTTGATTTTTTATTAAATTGAATCAATTTTGATTAGATCGATCGAATTGTATAGACATGAACACCCATAATAGTAGGCACTCAAAAATGACATCAGTGAGTGCATGCGGCCGGGTTTTATGGTATAAAAATTTTAACTACAAAGAAACTGGCCAGAAAATGAGTTGAAACCTCCGGACTTAGTTGGAACTTGGAAGTACAAGAGCCACAATGGGGTAGATGACTTTAAATTAAACCTCTTAGAGGTTCGAAGAGAAACATACAGGCCGGATAATCTTCCAGTCACTTTTGACCTTAGTTTCCAATTTAGTAATGGTATGTAATAAAAAAAAAAATCACAAAAAAAATAATAAAAATAAAGAAGTAATGGTACGCATTATGGTTTATTCAAATCAATTTTATACCATTAATACTCATGTTTATTTTACTTGTTACTATATGTATTTTTAAATAAAATTTTTTATAGTATATGAATGATAATTTTAAAATAAAATTCTTAATATGTAATTTTTATTTAGTGATGTTATTTAATGAAAAAAAAAATTAATTATTATTCACGTACTATAAAAAAAAATTTTGAGAGAGATATTTTTTAATATGAACTATATTTTTTTGTGTAATTTAGGTATTAAAATTATCAAAACACAATTAATAAATAAATATAGAGGGTAATTTTATTATAAAGGTATTTTGATAATTTTAATATTCTGACTGCATTAAAAAGTATCGTTCATATTGAAAAACTCATTTTTGCTAAAAAGAAAAAGAAGCATAATAACAAATAAAATGAACTGAATGTAATACAAGTTTAGTTGAACATGGCGTCTTTTGCATTGGCGAACCACTTTTATGATTTGTTGTATAGCAAATCAAAAATAGAATCTTATTTTATTATTTAAACTGTATTAAATTATAAAACAAAAACTATTAAATAAGGGTTAAACTCTTTATATCAGTGACTTAAATCTTATATAATGATTAATACAATGTAGTTTGATACAATTCAAAACACTTTTTCAAATAAGAAATCATATCAACTTTTATTCTCAACTAAAAAAGACACTTTCACAAAAATACCATTTAGGTTAAATGTTAATTTTAATCCCTCAACTATAAGCTTTTGCAAGTTTTCATCTCTTAACTTTTTTTTTTGTCTCTTAACTTTGAAAAATTAATGCACATTTTTAGTTTATATATTAGTTAATTTGTTAAATCTATATATATATATATATTCACATTTTTAGTCTTTGAATTTATAAGTTCAAGGACTTAAAATGCAGATATTTAAATAAATTTAATGAATTAATTGATAAAAAAACCAAATATGTGTATTTTTAAAATTAAGAGATAATTTATATAAAACTTTAAAATTGAGGGATTAAAATCAGCATCTAACCTACTATTTTAGACAAATGCGACATACAAGTTTATAATTATCAAATAAAACATGCGCAATTAATGAAAGATCATGCCTCAATTTTTGCAAATTCCACCGTGCCCTTCGGAAGAAATGTTTAACGTAATCTTTTTTCTTTTTTTTTTTTGAACAGCCAAGAAAATTATATTGATAACCTGAGTACAAGGACTTGCTTGTAAATCGGTTTCTCACCGTTTGCCAGAACTTCCGGCAATGGACCGATCAATGTGGACGGTCTCGGATTCACAAAAATGGGGACGGAAATCCTGTTCTTGCTAGCATTAGCAACCACACGGTGCTCGATGCTTTTGTATCTATCGTTGCTCAAAATTTGCAATGCATCTCCAACGTTGATCACAAGGGAGCCTTTGATCGGAGGGACGTGAATCCAGCTGTCATCACCGTCATGTCCTTTCACGTAGAGCCCTCCGATTTCGTCTTGGAGGAGGATTGTAAGGGTTGAGACATCGCAGTGACGTCCGACCCCGATTGTGAGTTCAGGATTTGGACATATGGGGTAGTAGTTAAGGTTAACTCTAACTGAACCCATCAGTAGAGATTTTTTAGTTTCATCACTTTCATTAACGTTCAGTCTCTTCATCAAAACCTGCAACAACCCGTTTGATCACAGTTTCGGAGCCTTTCATAAATTCCAACACTTCATCCCTGAGGAAGGAAAAAAAGTTAATATTAGATTCAGGCAAAAAAAAAGAAAAAGAAAGAAAGAAAGAAAGAAAACTTCTAGCAAATATTAAGGATCTATTTCATTATTATATATCATTCTGTTAGCTATTTTATTTTTTATTTTTTTATTTGAAATGCATGCACATGCATATATATTTCGCAGGGTATGCACATTAATACAACTTGAAAGTAGAAATAAAAAAAAAAGGGTAAAAACTGTTTACATGACAGGATGCATGGATCGAGGTTTAAGTTATAAATATATACATATACCTGCAAGCAGGAGGCCAGAGAGCAGCAGCTTGCTCTTCGGACACATAGAAGAGGCTAAGGTAATCTTTCCATTCCAAAGCCTTCTCAGCTTGAGGGCTAAAGCTTGTGCCAAACCTCACACTGTTAGAAGGAGAATGGTCTTTAGAATACTTATTTTTCTCCTCAGCTGGAAGTCCAAAGAACCGATGTGTTGCATCCTGCACATGATCTAGTACTTCAATGGGCACCCCATGGTTAACAATTTGGAAGAACCCCTATTTCTCTGCTGCATCACAGATTGAATCTGCGACTTTGGGGTCGTCCCAGTTGGACAGATCAATAATGGGTATGGATTCATTGGTGATGATTTTAGTGGTGTCGATTCGTTCTCCCATAGGTTGGATATAATGTTCAGGCAGGGCTTTGAGTCCCAATTCTGAAAGACCCTTCACTCCATTCCCTTGGTTTATGACAAAATTGGTAAGGGTAGTAGAATCAATGTTCGGGAATGCAACTGCTGGAGCCATCTGCCTTTGGCTTTTGGGCAAGGGTGGTGCTAAACAAGAGAGAGCTTGGGACTTTGGGAGGATGTCACAAGAGCGGGCCGGTTATGGTGCATTTTCCAAAACGATCGGCATGGCTATTTATAGGCGGGGCATCGTTAATCTTACGATGTCGCGTAAGTTTTTTATGTTTACAATTGTATTTTATATTATAAACAAATACAATTGGACAAAAAAAGTTTTTTCTTACTTTATTTATAATTTTCATTGAGTAGTTTTCTTTTCTAATGAAAAAATTCATTTGCAATTCATATACCATTGCTTTATAAAAGTATCACATAAAAGTGCAAGTAAAAAAATCAATAAGATGCACTGGGCCTTCAGCTAAGTAGCGTCAAGTCACATTTAAAGTATATTCTCCTTCCCCGAGCAATGGTTCAAATTCGATCCGTTGTAAATTTGTTGAAAAAAAAAATCAATAAGATAATTAATTCAATAGGAGAGGGAGTATTATTATTATTATTATTATTATTATTATTATTATTATTATTTAGGTCACACAATAAGAAACACATTCCTCTCATTCATAAACCCACCCCACTTGCCTTTTATAAAATCATTTATTACTTTTATTTAAAAGAGATTATTATAAAACCACTTATTATCTTTGCTTTGCTTGGTATTATTATTATTATTATTATGTTAAATTAGTCTCTCAACTTTTAGGTTTTTGCATAGTTTTTTGTCTCTCAACTATTTTAAACACTTTTTTTTTTATCAATCAACTTTAAAGACTATACAATTTTAATCATTCCATTAGTTAATCTAGCCGTTAAATTTGTCTATACATACACAATTTTAGTTACTTAACTTATAAGTTTAAGGATTAAAAATATATATATTATAAATTTAGGAACTAAAAATATGCACATTTAGCCTGTGCAAAAAAATATGCATATTTAGATAAACTTAATGAATTAATTGATAAAAAGACAAAAAATGGACATTTTTAAAAGTTGAGAGATGAAAATTATACAAAGCACTAAATTTGAAAGAATAAAATTGACCTTTAATCTTATCATCATCATCATCATCGTGAATCATTTTTGCATTTTCAATATTAATTAATGATATCCACCTCATTAATATACTAATATCTTCCCTTTCATACTTAAGTCACCACTAATAATTAAGCTTAGATTTTAGTAGAAGTGTATAAATTAATCACAATAATAATTGTTATTCAAATATATATGTATGCATTATTAAAAAAAAAAATGACACTTAAGGCATGTTTAATTTGAGGAAGATAGAATGGAGATGGTAGAAACATTTTTTATTTAGATTAAAAAAAATGGAGATGAGAGATGGAAAAGGCTTCCTTTAATTTTTTTTTTTCTTATACTTTATTTTCTCATTTAACCTATCCAATTAAATATATAAGGCTTTTCATGGTTTCACATTTGATCAGCTATTTCGTACCATTTGGTTTATTTCATTTTCTTTGTATCTTCTGGAATGTTGTTATTGTGCCTCCCTTTTTGGATTTGATTGGGTACCTTCCTTGATTTAATAATATTATCATTCACTGTGCCAATACGCTCTTCACACATAATGAGTTTTAGAAGAATAATAGTAAGAATTTTTCCCCTCATTTATATATTTTGAAAGGCAAATCAATTTATTAATGGGAGTACGGGCACTTAACCCATAAAGAAGTTGGAGGATAAGAAGGGTCCTACAATCTTACCAACAAAGTATACAATTGAATAACAGAATCCTTCTCTATCAATTGCATAATCCTGCAAGTCACTAAGCACTAATATCAGCCAATCCACATGAATACGATTTTGGATTATCATTCCCGCGCAAGATTCATCATCCCCAACGTCTGCTGCTGCTGCCGCCTTAATTAGGTTGCAATATCCAATCTGACATGCAAAATTGCCTAAGCTTCCCTCTAGCGATATCCACAGAAACCTGGGGATCAAACAATAATGGGAGAATATGCACCCCCCCCCGCCCCCCCCAAAAAAAGAAAAAAACATTAATATGAGAAAATTAAAAGGTGACATAGTGACATACAGATATGCCCCAGCGTACTGATTTTAATAAATTAAAGATTTGATAAAAGTATAAATTAATTAATATATATCATATTTCTTCCTTGAGTGATTTGTACAAAGTAACTACTGCAAGTCCAGATGCACATACAACATGCACCGTTGAAGGGGTCAAAGATGATCAAGGAATGCTGGCGCGTGGTATGTTATGCTGTGCTTTGGTCCCTTTGGCTTTGTAGAAATGATATGGTCTTCAACGGCAGAAGGGAGAATGAAGATAGCCAAGTTTCCTATCTGTGCAGGTGCAGTGTGTACAACTACAAATGCTTCATCTACAAGTCAGAAATTTTGGCTATCCTTTTTTTTTTTTTCCTCCTCTTTCTTTAATTAGTACCCAACAAATTGCATTAAATTCTGATATTCTCTGAATCAAAGTTAATACTAGCAGATCACAACCCGACTGAGCTTTTATTGATTATTGTTTATATCTATAATCTAAACAAGAATAATTTATCTTTAATAAGATAGAAGGAAAACATTTAGTAGGGACGGATCAAGGCTTAATGAGTAGCAGTACATATAGGAAATTGAAGTCCATATTAATTTCTACAAGTCATATAGCAAAAGTGTTTTGTATGTGGTTTTTCTAAATTTTTTTTTGGAGGATATGTCTAAATTAATTATTCTATTAAAAACTCCATTTATATGATGCATGTTAATTTTCAAATTGATTTAATAGA